AAAATGAAACATAAAGAAGTGATAATCATTTATTGAAAAATAAATCTATTTAGTAGTGAAAAGCTAACTAGTTTAAGTTGTGAGACGTTGAAACAACTTTACAGATTGCTGTATATTTGTCAAGAGTTAGATTTGACTGAATTTTCATCTTAAATTTAATAAATTCATTTGTATTTTCATTATGATGAATATGAATTTGTTTTAATAAACATTTCGTTCATTTACAAATGTTCTTAAAAGTATCCGTTGGAACTATTTATTAAGTTTGTTTAGTATTTATATGTTTAGCATATGAAAGTGCCTTTATTATGGTCCCAAGATTATTTTCACTTACTCTTAAAGTATATTAACAAACATTAGCTCCCAGACTATTTGACCAAATTGGATAAATATTGACCAAATCTTTTTGTCTTTATTTTAAGGATAATATTTGTATGAATATATAATTTAACAATCAATTTGCTATTACCTAGCCATATGAAGATGAGACGAACTGTTCGTATATGTTCTTTCAAAAAGCTAAGCTATTTTCCTGTGTCGTCAGTGCGTTGACACACAGACAATTTCGAAATCAGAACGATACATTTTTAGATAACACAAAAAGAGTAATTCCTGTGGAATCGACAGACTAACTACACGCTACGCAACAGACCAGAGACAGTCCGGTCACTGCGCCAACTGTACAATTCTCTAATGAATAATGTTTTTTACGAGGGAAAAAGACATAATTCCTAATTACATTTCCACCTAAGTCTATATATTATCTGTATAAAATGTAAGTTGAACTCGTAATAGGATTAATACCTTTTAAGTATTGGTCGGCAACTCTGGACCGTTGCCAATGCGCGGTGTCAATGGGGATTACAGCATAGATTTACTGCTACATTATTACTTTAAGTTGACCACTAAATTGTTGCATTAGCAGACGGTTTTATTTGTAAAATTAAGATGTAATATTTTATTTTTAGTTTATTCTTTATGTTGCATACAACGGTTTTATAGTGCGTCCTTGTATGGTGTTTTCAGGCCGAGTAAAGAATGATTGGATTAAAAAATTAACACAAGTAAGGTAAAAAACGAATCCGAGGCGGCTTGGCGATTTTAAACTTATTAGTTAAGGTTTCTTCACGTTGTATTACTTGCCTTGCATTACTGCTTATATAAGAAGCTGGTACCTTAATCCCGTGACCATCGGTTTACGATATAATCATAACAGAATCCAAATATCACAATAAAATATTCTTATCACTTTTTTTTATGTAATAGGTCGGCAAACGAGCCGACGGATTACCTGATGGTAAGCAATTAGCACCGCTCATGGACACCCGAAACGGAGGAATTACGAGTGCGTTGCCGACCGTTTAGGGATTAGGGATTTGGAGATTTAGGGATTGAGGAGGGATTGGGGGCGGGGAAGGATTGGGCCTCCGGTAACCTCACTCACACGGCGAAACACAACGCTGTGGTTGTTTCACGCCGGTCTTCTGTGAGGCCGTGGTATCACTCCGGTCGAGCCGACCCATTCGTGCCGAAGCATGGCTCCCCACTTAATGTAAGTTCGTTATAGCAAAGTTTCTTTTAGAATTTTATTTCTTTTATTCCATACTTAAACTTGTAATTTTGTCCCTAAAGTATGTAGTAGATCTACATAAGGAGTAAAAATTTCAACATTTTTCTTTTCCTTAAAAAAGTAAAAAGTTGTGTTGAATAATGTTTCTGGAACAATTGTTTCGAAAAATTTCTTTAGTTTGCTTCAGAAGTTTGTTTGCCTTTTAATTTTACCGAAAGTTTTCCGGGGAATTGTTTTACAAGTTTTTCTGTGTGCCTATTAAATGTTTACGTTTTTTTCTTTTGCTGTTCAACTACACATATACCGTTTAAGGAAAGTTTTAGTGCTTACTGTATTTTAGTTTTAAATTGAGTTTGGTTATTATCGATTTCTGAAAGGATCCTATGTTTTTAATATTTGACTAAGATTTTTTTTTAATTATAATACAAGATTTAATTTTTTCATACCCTATTTGTATCAATAAAAATACACTAAATTGCACTCAAGAGTACAATACAATATAAGCCACCAGGCCACGAAAATAGCACTTCAATCTTTTAACAACCTTCCAAAATTATAAGAATTTAAGCGAAAAAATGGAAGTTAAGATAATAAAAAAACAGTTTACATTGACGAAATGATCCAACAAAGCCTTGACTTTGTTGAAAAATCTTTATGATTTACATAAAACATTTCGAGTGAACATAAGATATTTTGGGTACAATACTGCTCCAGTCCATTGAAAATCTTTTTCTAAATCAGTTGACGTCACTTATCTTGCCCTGACACGTTTAGGGGTCGCCGAAAGTGTCAAAAACATGAAGTTCCTTTGTGGAAAGAAGATGGGGCTATTTATTTTGGACAGTGAGTTTGTCACTGTAGGTGTTAGAATAACATTAAATATAAATTCAAAATGTCATGCATGAAACCTGGAAAGTACCAATGTGGTTTTTCATAGTAATATTTAGTTTCTAAGGTCAGGTAAGTTAGACACCATTAATGATGTTTTACATCAGGGTCTGTTGTCTGTACCCTGAAGGGAAACATCATGAAGAAATGGGAAAGTAGTAGATGAATAAACATTAATCACCAGGCTTGGTCAAAGTGGATTATCGATTGCAAACTTTTAATTAGAAAAATATAAGTCCAGGTTAGGCGTGGTGGTCGTTTGTCATAGTGGAAATAATCTTCTCTCTAGCCGGTATGTAAAAAATGAATCCACAAGAGGTGCAAGTATGCACAGGAGGCGACTGCTTTTACCCCAGGACTGAAACGTCGTCCAAAAAAATATCGTTTATATATTAAAGTTTATTTCTTTTTATCCAAACGAATAAAAGTACTTGTATAAACAAGGTTATTGTCTGTACATGAAATGGGTGAATGAACGCAAAATTTAACAATATATTAATAAGCTAACTAATTAGGTACGTAATATAACATAATATTACGGATATTGGCGGTGAGTAGGAAGCGGTAGCGGATGATAGACGTTAATAATGTTGATTGTTATTTAGCTCGTTGGTTACAGTTCAGTACAGTTTGTGCACTTCTAACAACAACCATACAAAGGCTTTGGGTAAATAAAAGTGAAAATAAATCAAACAGCTGACTATTTTTCGTCTTTTACTTGTAGGTATATACATGATACATACAGGATTAAAAATACATAAAATGTTTGACTGAATAGATTTGCAAGTTGCAACAAAGTAGTACCTTTAGGTATACCAAAAACCGTAACTTACGTAGTTCCAGTAACTTATTAACTTAGAAAATAAAATCTGCAAAGTATTATACCTATAACATAATATCACCCAATAACTTTAAATATATCTGACCAGGCATTATACCAAAATTCGTTTTGTTACTAACCTTTTTTGAAAAATCTTAGCAATTTAGTAACCGTCTTCCTGATTCATGAATTGAATTCAGAAACCTTTTCTCAACATTTGTATTTTTTATGGTATAGGTCAGCAAACGAGCATACAGATTACCTGATGATAAGCAATCAGCGCTGCCCATCGCCACCAAAAGAGTTACGAGTGCGTTGCCGGCTTTTTTAGGGATAAGGGATTTTGACATTTAAGGATTGGTTAGTGATGGACACAACCGTGAGGCCGTGGTATCACTCCGTTCGAGCCGACCCATTCGTGCCGTAGCTTGGCTCTCCGACACTTACACTAATTTAACAATCCTGGCAGTTCTTTAATTATCTTTCTGCTTCTCAACTTCTATACCAAAAACCTTAAATGCCCCATTAAGTTACCCAATGACCTTGAAAATCTAACAGGCGCTTTTTAAAAAAATAAAAATATGTACAACGTCAAGGCAATTGTCTGTACCTAAGTGGCTCTCTAAGATAAGGTCCAATTAACTTTTCAAGGATTAAAGTAACTGCTTACATTACCGTACTTTAAGATTCTGCTTAATATTTAAAGGCAACCTTTCCAAGATGTTTGGACGATTTGTGATCTGACCCTTCTAAGCCTAAGAACACAAATTGGTTCGTAAATTTAAAGGAAATGTTATGATATTGAATCGGAAATGATGTTAATTTATACTCGGAATCTATTTTTAGTGTGGGTGTTAATAATCACATTTGGTCTTTGTTGTTCTTGTATCTTAATGGGATGCTTTCTATTTCCAAGAAATGAAATTGGTTTAACGACAAAGTTATTGTAACCGCTGCTCGAAACACTGGAACAGAATACATTTTTGTCACAACACGCCTACGAGGCGTACGAGCATTCATATTTGTCAAAAATACTAATATAGCAAATTGTTCAGCATATACTTTAATTTATAAGTACGTTTCTAAGTCTAGGCTTGCTAAAAAATAATTCCCTTAGGAATATTTTAAGTCTTATGTCCTTGAAATAATATTATGTGGAAGTTTTTTAATCTCCATGCAAATCGTAATAAAATCGTCTCGTTCCTTATCCAATGACCTAACGGGAGACGGGAGACACTCAGTTTAGTATTCAAGATCATATCTAACCGACTATCTGAATATAAATTTGTTCAAAGACTACTCAGTATTCTTTTTACTGTCAATTGAATTTGATGCAACATTCTTTCTATTTTTATGAATAGCATGGCTGAAGTGTACTTTGCTATCAAAATACGGTTCGAGTTTTCCATTTTCGATACTAAAATAGCAGGAGTTTTCCAGTAGTATGGTAGTAGGCCACTACAATGCAGAATAGTCCTATTAGATTTTCATTGTATGGACTTTAACGATTAAAGTGTTTTAGCACTTGTCTTTTGTAAATAGACTTGTAATACCTACACGAAGTGCCACGTTTTTTTATCAAAACGCTTTTTCATTGAAGCAAATAAATAACATTATTCATCTAGTTTTAAATATTTAAACATTGACGACGTCGATGGGAAGCATTTCTATATCAAAAAAATTCTTATCATCAATAAGCCTAAAAAAGCTAAAAGTACTCACCGATCCATTCCGCGTCCTTGAAAGTGAAGGAACGTACTCCCTTTCAACTGTAGCTACAGCTAGAAGTGGAGCGAAGATGGCCAAGGCCACCAGCCAGAGTCCTGCTAGAAGACTACAGGCTCCTCGTCTCGATGGCATCCAGGGTTGTCGGAGAGACTGTGTGATGGCCAGGTACCGGTCCACTGACATCGCTGTGATGGTGAACACGCTTGAAGCTACTGCTACTCCTGAAGGCAATAATATATATATATAATAATAAGAACGTTTATGATTGATATAGAAATACATTTTTATTTTTCCTCTTAGTATTAAACATAAGGAAGACAAGAATAACGTTTTAATGGCCATCAAGTATGGAATCAAATTCATATGCAATAAATACATATAATGGATACATTTTGAAATAAATCATAAAAACAATTTATCTGCAGGCTTTTTACATCATTTTGTTTTTGTCTGTATATCTGCAAATTTCTGAACGTGAAATATATTGAAACGATCAGATCTTTTGAAATACATGACAGGTTAAAATATTTTCGTATTCGGCCAGTAATAGTTATATATTTCAGGTGAAAATTATAGAAAAAAATACCGTCCACATCTAATTAGTGCCCTCTGAAATATTAAATAGAGATTATAAATATTTGTTACGTAAATGGAAAAAAAGAAGTTCAGATAAAATATTATCTTAACTTGACTATATTCTAAAGCTTCATAAGAGTAGGTGCCATTATAGCATCATGACCTTAGATTGTGTTAAGCCCTGCCGCACTCTGTGGTTTAGCACAGATTCTAAGTCGATAAAGTGGTTGGTAGTATCAAGCTATGGGTGTCGACTTGACTAAGCGAAAATAGCTTTATACTTGTACGTAAACACAATGATTAAATGTTCAAATGTGATATCTACGTTCAATTTGATATACGAAATTAAAAGAAAAGTATGTAAAAATAAAAAGGAATAAAAAGAAAATTCAAGCAAATTAACAAACAATTTTCCGATCCGGCGCAAAATAAAAGCAATCAACGGGACAGTACCAGAAAATTTCTTGAAGCAAATCAGCTTATAACCAAAGTTGGCTCCTCAAAATTTAATCAAGCGTCTCTCAGCCCTGAATGTTATCAACCGCGTCCTACTGTCTTGTACTTCTCCCGATATTATACAAGTTCAGACCTTAATACCGCAAATTATTGGGTTCAGAAGGACCACTTTGCGAACGCTTTTTCTTTTGATACATGGATCCGGAATATCTGATGACCAAAGGTGGATTGTTCACTTGATTGACTTGAAAGAGTTTCTCAATTGTTTTTGTATATTTTTTTTGCTCTGTTTTCTGACTCTGATTGTACTTGATACGGTAATAAAAAGATACTTAAAGATGTAACAAAGCGAATCTGTGTTGACTTATTTTTACATTTATTTTTATGGACACGCGATTGTCTATTTAAAACATATTTGTGTACTAAAATAGAACAAAGAAAATACCTTATCATGTTAGACAAAGAAGATCTTGTTATGCACGAGTTTCTTCGAAATAGCATCTTTGTTATGAACCAATTCGAATATTAAGTGACAAAATAAGAGCACAAATCCATTTACACTAGTACGTAAAGTTACCGTTTTTCTGAGTTTCTAGAACTCAATTCGATCAATGTTATGGACTGTGCTTGAACGTTACGCAAGAGTCAGTTACATAACCGATAGTGCGGAAAATCTATGAAATGTACACCTATAGATGTAATCCCGAGATCCGAATAGAGTGCCTTTTATTGCACAGTTCATGTTATACCGTCGCATAGCAGAAACATAACGGTACAGTCTCTGTTTTAAAACAAATAATAATTTAAATATTTTTTTAGTAATCGTATAAATAATACTAGACTAAGTATTAAAGATCCTGTACTATTGAATATTTTGAATTTAAAAACATGCATATATGTATAATATACTCGAATTGAGAAATCTGCTCCTTTTGGAAAGTCGATTAAAAATAAGCCATTCTTTTACAAACACTAAATAATATCAGGATTTTAGTTTTAACAGTTATGATATTGGTTTTTGTCATAGTGTGCTAGCGTCACCATTATCATCTGAGGCCAAAAAATTGTATCGTCTAATTATTTTATGTTTAAAGTTAAGAGCTAGCTAAACCTATGAATGGTTTAATAGGTAGATAAGTAAGTACTGAATTTTGTACACAATAATAGGGCTGAAATCTTCTGTATGGAAAAAAGCCCTTTTAATAAAATAAAGATTTAAGAAAAACACTAAATAATCAGACACATTATATACAATAGAATATGTAGGTAAGCCGTGTAAGCGAACAAGATATTAAATGAAATATAGTCAATTAAACGTCTGTATCAAGCAATCAATGCAATCAATGCGGGTCGGCACCAAGCAATCAAAATCAACAAGGTACAACAAAAATGAAAGAGAAAAAATCTACAATTTTGTTCTAAACCTTCTCCGCGTAAAATTTTCTTTGTACCAAATACCAAAAGACTGATCGTAATTAAAGCAATTTTTAGCATTTCCCTTTGTTTTAACCAACTGTATTAATTGGCAATTTGATTATATTTACTTCGTCCTGTGGAACAAACACTAATGTAATTAGCTTAGTTGAAAGATATTAGGATGGTCGTCGTGATAGTCGTTTTTTGTTCAAGCGAATAGTTTGGGAGATACTTTTGCAGAGATTGGTAGAGTCATAACTATAACAAGGACAATTATTGGATGTGTATAAACACATTGAAGTAGTATGTGTAATATTTATTTGTAGGTATAATAAACGAGTATAAATATGGTACATATTTATGTAAGTTTTTTTTATTTATAATTACTCTTTCTTTGGTGTACGTACCATTAGTTTGCCACATCATCACTCAAAGGTTTGACTAGTAAAGAAAGCTCATTTTACGAAAAAAATATTTTTCTGCGTGATGCATTTTAAATAAGTTTAATATAAAACAGGGATTCTAATCATAAACCCTCACAGCCAATATAAAATTTCGACAGGCGATAGTATTGTGTTGTGTTGTACTAGAAATCAGTATTGGGTTTTTAGGTTAATGGTTTAATTGATGGTTAATGTGACTTTTTATTGTTATTTTAATGACCTATTGGTAAAATATCTAACACTTTTCACAGGCCCCTACACCATTGGTAAGAAAACCTGTGTGTTTCCAGTCTTCTCTAAAAATAACACCTCATCTTACCGCAAACTCTCACCAACCATATCGAGCGCTACACATAATTGTTTCCACATATAGACTTGCTAATAAAATTAGCACTTAATTGCAACCATTGACAGTTATCAAATGAACTCCAATAAATACTCAATCAAGATTGCACGTGCTCAAACTTACTCGGTCGCAATACATGTTTCATTAATGAGAGTTTAAATTTTCAATCACAAATTCCAATAGAGCACATACTGAAGAATGTTCTAACAAATTTAATTTTGGCCCAAGGAAAGTTGTTTGCGACCTCCCCCTGATCTTATGGGCTCAGTCACGTGGAACGTAAATCTTAGTTTATAGGCCCTAACGTTTCAAGTGTGTCTTTTCTCAACACTATTATATACTTGAAGGGTAAGTAAGCAACAAGGAATAAAAATTCATGGAGTAGAAATTATTGATAAGGTCTTGTACTTCCAGAATGTTCTCTTTGGTACATTTTTAATATTATTCTTTGGAGGATTAAGATAAGCTTTTTGTTACTTCAAGTGGCCCTAGCAGTTCCTGAACTAAAGGATGGCAGCTATTTACATGTTTACCAAGCTCTCTGGAGTAAACAATAACCATTATCACGGTGGAAAACCACATAATTTTGTTTAACCTTTGTTTAACAGGGTCGTCTTGGAACCCAAATAGGGATTTACTGACCTCTAATGAAACTGTTTAGATCGGCTATCAAATAAATATCAACTCACAGGTTTTCTGTAAAAACTCAAGAGAGTGAATTCATAAATAAATTTTGTTAAATGTCAAGTGACACCTAGCTAGTTCTGTTTAGGATTTGATTGCCATGTGTATACAGGCTCGTGCCAAAAGATTGTTGTTCAGTAGTCTTTTGGCAAGTGCTTGAGGTACATTATATATATGTACCCACAAAGATTCCTTATATAAAAAGCCTATTGATCAACGATTATGTTTTGATTAAATTTCATTCATTTGTCAATCTGTTCTAAATGCACTTATTAAAGATGAAGAGAAAACAAAACACAACAAAAGTGTCACCAATGATAAACGGTGAAGAAAAATATTGCTGAAAAATATTGACTGAGTTTGAAATCAACAATCTGCGACGAGAAAGCGTGGTGATAAATGCTAAAGGCTTTCCCTTCTGAGAAGAAGTCTTTACTCAGAAGTGGACCCTGGTGATAAACATGCTTAATACACCTATAGCCTCAGGGGTCTCACAAGAATGTTGGCCGCTATATAGAAAACTTTTTGTATTGTTGTTTAATGAAGCTTGATTAAAATTTTATAAATATAAAGATCTCCAAAATATTGTAATGTAACCAAAAAAGAATAATCAGTTTTACCAAAACTGATTTGATGTTTTATTTGTACAAAGTGCAATGCATTTTGGAATGTTGTTTTATCAAAATAATTCAACATTACAACAATAATGATGTACATAGTTGCAATAACTGCTCTACAATATAACACGAATATATACACGCCTTCAGTTTCACCTATTCTGAATATTTTCTATTGAATTTTGAACTTTACTACTTCAATACAAAGTTGCAAATCTAATGAAAAATACTAAAAGTTTGGACTTGCTAGCATCTGTACGAAACACCTTCGCAAATGTCGGAGTAATTATTATAATTGGCTAGTTTCGCGGTGTGGCGTGAAGTTCCCATCTTCCCGTCTTTGTTCGGAAAGGAAAATTACCCTTTACATTTTGCCAGTCAGACATTGTGCATAAATGCTATTTCTATTATATTATTATAAACGGGATGAAAGCTAAGCTGCTGTTGCACGTTTTGGATGGTGTGATACGTCAGAATGTTGTAATACTAATTATATAACGTAGTCTTTGTCTTTTTAAAATGAGGTATGGACATGAATTTGTTCAATATTACAAATTAATTATAGCATAGGATGAACAAGTGGCCCTTGGGCCAGAGTAGGAGAAGGAACAGGGGGTTTTTAGTCAGTAAGAGTTTGACACACTCTCTCGCCTAACCCTGGGCGGGAGATGTCATTTGATGATTTTCCCCTGACAAAAAAAAAGAGGGTTGGCCATCGCTCGAAAGCCTGACGGCCGATGGGTAAAAAAATGCTTGAGCGGCGGCCACGGACTGGAAGACGTAACATGGGAAGACCTCCAGCGAGGAGGTCCTCCTGCTAGGATCGGAGACTTTATCAGAGTCGCTGTGAGCCAATGGATAGGAGTGGCGACTTGTCCATTGGCGTGAAAAGCTAAGGGGAAGGTCTTCCAGCTGATGACGATGATAGGATAAAGGAAAATTTATAGTGATACGGGATTTAAATACGGGGAAATTTCCTTATATCTAAATTATTAAAAAGTCAGCTTACCTTGCAAAAAGTTGACAGTCTTGCACATAACCTCCCCGAAGTACCAGAGCAATGTGACAGACTTGGCAATCTGCACCGGCATGCAGAACAGCGTCACTAGCAGGTCTGCCACCGACAGATTCACTAGAAATATGTTCGTCACACTGCAACAAATGAAAACACGACTTTATTTAGATGCTCTTAAAACGTAAAATTGTGAGTTCTGTTTTCCTAACATGATATTCTGTATTTGAAAGTGTGTAAGTTTGTTTTTGTTTAGCGTGATAGTGAAATAATTTTCTGATTGAGGCGTCCTCGGATGGTGAAAAACCCGGAGTGTCTTTTTGTCCCGAAAGACCAAAGTTGTAAAAAATAGCAGGTAATCCTGCATGTAATTCATTAATACATACTCATTTTTTACAAGTTATGTAAATCGTTTATTATGATCATAATATACCAAACAAAATCACAAACTCCATGCTACTACACTAAGCAATTTTCAAAAAAGACTCCAGTAATACTTTGCCTAGCTCCAGAAGACACCTTTTTGTCAATTGAAATAACATTCAACCGACCAAAAAGCCAATAGTAGATAATAGTATTTACATAAAAAAAATCTCACCATGAGCACAATACGAAAATGAAAAAGAAATAAGCTCAAAAAATCACAAATGACATACCAAAGTACGTGGGATTAAAAGATACCTTCGTTGCTTTTCGATATCGCAACAAACTCACAGAGAATCCATACTTTTCACATTTTACTTTAGCAAATGAGGAAGCAAAAAATGCAAATTGGATAAGTTCCAGGTGATTTATGACCACCATTAATAACATGATAATGTAAAGAGAGTAACGGATAATAAATTACCTTAGCCCTAAATCCACATAAGAACTTGGAAGTGAATTAATATCTTTAAGACTAATTGGCTGTGTAGGTTTCTAACATAGCTTGAAGCTAAGTTCCAAGCACTTCTTGTCTTAGTTGTACAGATAACATGCACATCAAGCTATGCATGCATAATAAAATGTGTTAAAGAAGACAAGTTGACAGTTCCTTATACAAATCAATGACTAAATTTATTAAGTATAATTAATAATGACTTTTTTATGGAATAGGAGGCAAATGAGCAGACGGATCACCTGATGGTAAGCGGTCGGAGCCCATGGACACCTGCAATACCAGAGGAGTCACAAGTGCCTTGCTGGCCCTTTAAGAAGGTGTACGCCCGTTTCTTGAAGGTTTGAAGGTCGTATCGGTTCGGGAATACCGCCGCCGGAAGATCATTTCAGAGTGATTTCAGTTACGCGAGAATCGCACAGTTGTTGACTGCCAACTATCTATGTGATGGGGATGAACATGTTTTCGCGTGGAACGATGGCGAAAATATGCGGCGGGGATCAAACCGAACAATTCCTCAGAACACTCCCCGTGATAAATGTGATAGAGAATACATAGCGAGGCTATATCCCTACGCAGTGCCAAAACCTTTTTTAACGAGGGAGAGCTATGCTTGAGCAGCACCAAAAACTAATGTGAAGCCACGTTTGCCCCATTTATTATTTTCTGGTGTTACCTTAATCCTCCTTTTCATACCCAATCCCGCCCAATCCTCAAATCCCTTACCCCAAAAAAGCCGGTGAAACTTCTGATGTTATGAATTGGCGGCATTGATTGCCTACCGTCAGGTACCGTAAGCCGCACAAAACAATAAAAAGAAACTACGATTTGATAGATCAAAAAATACAAGAACACCAATCAAAATAAAAAATAAAAAAACACTTTGTATAACTTGTAAATAGCCTTCGATTGTCATATCATTTCTTTTAGCTGTAAGTTTTCCGAAAACGTTAACGTTTAAGATGAAATGTTCGAAGTTGGCTTAAGAATTGCAGTTATGAAATTAATAGGATCTAGTTCAAACTAACAAAGAGTACAAAAAGGTCAGGTTTTAGTCTTTTTATACATTTTAGCCTGAACAAGTGATTTTGTATTCTAAAGCCTAAAATCTTAAACCCACAGGATGATTTTAATTTGTTTTCACAAATCTAACGCCTACACCTATTGTTAATACAATAATAGTCACTGTAGGCGTATTTGTGAACGTAAAATTTTGTTACTAAGTAACGTTCTTTGTCACTTATTACGTATTTTGGAAAATGATTGAAGCTTTGATTAATTTGATTATGAGGAGTTTTATGTGGGCTTGGAATTGTGAACCCTTGAATTTCTTTTGTTATTTACCGGGGGCGTCTCTTTTAAGGGTCTGTCACCAATGTTACTGATCTCTCGCCCTTGGTAAAGCGAGAGGGAGTGTCAGACTCTTACTGTCTAGAAACCACCCCTCCTTCTCCTGCTTTAGGCCGAGACCGTGGTATATTATTGCACTTAGCCCCCTATCTCGGCCAAACATCAGCACGTGGTTAGCGCATGGAACTGTGTAAGTTATTACTAAGCTTTGATATTTGTCGATTCATAGTGTCGCCTAAGTAACAAAGATATTTCAATATTTTAAAAATTGCCTAATTTCACGTTCCCTATATTGTTAGCAATCCATTCCAATCAATATAATTTTGGTTGTAATAGACAAAAATAAAAGAATTATAAATACAAATTTTTCATAAAAATTTTATTTTTATTTTATCAGCATTAACTTGGTTCAATATTATTTGGAGCCAAGTAAGACTTTTGTACGTACTTCATGTAAACTACAAAAATAAAACCATACTTCAGACCTAATACCACAAGCACGAACTACTCGGGAAAAGTATTTTCCAATAGTTTTATTTGACTTAATCTTATCTGAAAGGTTACATCAGAATACAGATCAAAACCTGAAACTTTATATTGTTGATCTGTACAAGAGTTTTGGCTTCAGCAAAACAGATTTTCGTGTAAAATACTGAATTTTCTCGACACACGAGATTACTGAAGTTTCACGAAAAGATTTAACATAACGTCCAAAGCTTAACACTTATTGGCAAAGCCTTTAAGATCGGAAATCCAATGTTGCAGTGCTGAAAAGAAGAATAGCCTTGAATTCAATAAATATACGACTCTATGGCGTAAACCTCAAAGTCAGCTTTGCGGTGGAGTCTGGATATACAATATCTGTTATTGCCATAGTTACTCAAAAACTCATATTTGTGATTTACACTGCACTACACTACACCTCCACTTTGGAGATATACTCTGAATTTGTAATATTTATGGCAAACCCTGGCCTTTTATTTAATTCAAGCTACGAAATTATGGCAAAACCCTTAAGCAGAAGAGGGTCTTGGACTACATTAGCCATACTCATAGACATTTTAATGATAATTTAAACTGTTCTTAAGTAACAATGTGATGATCGTTGAGTAAAGTAAAGTAAAAGCGAATATTTTCTGTACTTAATATTTACTAAGGAATCAGTCAAGGACTAGTTAACCACAAACTGATTTTGTGAGCGCCAGCAACTGGATGTTTATTAAATTGTTCTCTATTTAAAATTATAATTTAGTAACACAGAGCCTTAACCTACATTATGTTCAGCCGGGGTTGCGGGGTAAGCGCTATGAGGCAACAGGGGGGTTTTTACTCAGTAAGAGTCTGACACTCCCTCCCGCCCGGCTCTGGGCGGGAAAAGACATTTGATGATTTTCCCCTCACAAAAAAACCTACATTATGTTTTATTGAATGACTACATTTGCTTAGATTTCACCAATACCGCATTCAAATTCACCAGTAACGAATATTTGTAAAGTTTTGCAAATAATCCTCTAAGGATTGATTGCCTTACCAGTCAACTCAAAAGCCATAATTATAATGAATTAAATATATATTTTTTGCGAGAAAACACGACTTGTATCAAACGATGATAGGGAATCATAATCATGAGTTGTAAAGGCCCAACACAACACGGTAACGCGTAAATATAATATATTGAATTAATGTCTCACTTACTCACAAAAGTTACAATATAGCAACCATTTAACCAAACACTAGTACCCTTACAACAGCTGCCCAACTAATAATATGACTCCAGTTATAAAAACAATACAAATGCACCTACCTCGTATTAAATCAAGTGTCAAGAAGGATTGCTATCTTAGAAAATGGAGAATGTGTTGGCTGCGAGCCACATGCTTGGAACAGGTGAACCTTGGCGACTACTGACTTGTTACCTAACAAATTACAATCGAGTTTCCACTGGGAAATTGTTTTGTGACATGTAGTAGAAAGTTAGACAGTTCTACTTCACGTAACTATAGTTTAAACTCATCGTATTTTTTTCTCTTAACGCTTTAACTAACCTCCTTTATAGTGTCCAGTTTTATAATTCACACACAGAGTCATAAATTACTTTTCCTGACATGGGGATTCTGGAAGAAATTCCAATAGGAATTACCTATAGCACCTACATATTATGTAAAACAAATTTTAAGTATGTTGTCCTACGTGCTGTATTTATGTATATGCATATATATATATATTTGTACAATTGAATACCTACTGTGAAAAGCGAGATAAAGTATAGTTGTAGAAAAACCCCATATACCTACACGTGTGAAGAACACACGTTAGAATAAATATTACATGCGAGAGCTTGTATGTGACAGCCTCGTCGGTCAAAGGCGGAATGGAAGCCGGCTGTCCTCGCTTGGTGACACATGACATTACGTTGACAAGCTGGCTCGCTTGGACCACGAGTAGTATCCTGATCCAATTTGATGAGTAGTCGACATAACCTGCTCCAGCCTTTTTAATTTGAAAAGTGTTCGAAATAAACGATAAATAGCAAGTACTTTTAAAAAATCTAAATAGTATAGGTAATAGTCTGTTCATCAATGAAGCTAGGTACTCGTTCTAAAGCTATACAAACTGACAAAATATTATGGTACTAAGTAAATTGTTATTAACCACAATTGTTTAATTAATGGCAATAGTCTTGTTTTAACACTGATTCAGTCTTTTTTAAAGTAAAGTAAAGTAAAGTAGTCTTTATTGTGTTGATTGTGTTGGTTACAGGTGTTATACATATTTATAGTGGTATACAGTACAACAATCAGCCCGTTTGGGCATACAATAATCAAGGCCCATTTGGGCTAGTACATTATTAATTAAAACAAAATTACAAGTTAACAACAAAAAATATATAAAAGTTACACATTACTTATTTTC